AAAAAAATTAAAATCAAAATTATCATTTGACAAAAGTGAGTAAAATGAAAGTAAAAAGAAATACTGTCTTGGCAGTGTCGGTGTCTGTGGGGATGCATTTTCTCAGTGCTGAAAGGAAAGCTGGTCAAAGGATGTTAAATGCTGCTAAAAGGGCTTGCATCGGGTGGATAGTCGTCTTCCAGCAGGACAATGATCACAAACAAAATACAAAAACAATTTTAAACCAAAACATAACTGTGTGCTAAAATGGTCCATGCAAAGTTCAGACCTTATTCCAACCAAGAATCTGTGACAAATCTTCAGAACAATATACACAGATATTATTCACCCAACCTGACTGAAGATATCTGAGAAGAAGAATAAAAGCTGAATTTTTTTTTAATGTGCAAAGCTGATAGAAGTACACCAAGCAAAACTTCAAAGTGCACCTGCAGCAAAATATGTTATTAGGTTATTTATTGACTCAGCAGCAACAAAGAAAACACAGAGCACACAGTTTCCAAATGATTATTTGTAAAAAAAAAAAAATGTTTAAAGCCATGTAACTTTTGCTTCCAACTCACATTTGCTTTTTGTCTTTTACGTAGAATCCCTAAAATTAAAAAGTGTGTGTGTGTGTGTGTGTGTGTGTGTGTGTGTGTGTGCGTGTGTGTGTGTGTGTGTGTGTGTGTGCAAAAAATGTGGATATGTCCCACACTATGATTAGTTAAATTTCATGACTATGCGAAGTGGAGTAGAAAGGTTCTTATATATTGTAACTGGTCTGATAAAAGTGCTTGGCGACTCCAAGGTCAGCCCAACCACATTTATCAGAGCAAATGTCAAATAAAGCCATCATCTCTGAAAAAAACTAAACAAAATAAAATAAAAAAAACCATGTAAGGTTCAGATGCTCTCTAAGCTCTGCATTTAGGTTGCAGCCCCATCTGTAATAGCATTACAGCAGTCAGAGAGTGGGAGGACAGCCAGCACACACACACACGGGGCCATCATTGTTCCAGTTGGACTTCTTAACAGCGACAGATGACATGCCAGCCTGCCTGCAGGTATCCGAGTCCCCTACTCTACCACTGTATCCCCTCATTCCTCGTCCTCTGCGCTATTCTTCCCTGGAGAGCGGCGGTGCTGCCGTCTCGCTGACAGAGGATGCATCTCCGCTTTACTGCCTTCATAAATACTGCAAAATTGAAAACAATGAGGTTGTCTGGGCATTGGCAGTGTTAAGCTGCGGTAATGTCACTACTGAGCACAGATGACAGCTTTATGCACATCAGAAAGGCTCGAAATGGGAAGGTAAGAGTGGGCGTCGTAATGGACAGAACTAACAGGCCCGATTCAACAATGCACTCTGAAGGGACACATAGACCTGTCGGTGCGCATTTCATTACTGACGCATAAATCTGTCAAAGAAGGAGGCTAAGTGGCACCTCGGGATCCATTAGAGCTGTTGCATAATTGCTTTCGCTTCAGTCCTTTATTTTTAATTTTTTCCCTTTTTGATGTCGGATCATAACTGCTCTTGACAAGTAGATATAGGAATCCATGAGCTGAGGCGCTACGGGAAGCACATCCAGAGATACAGAAAAGGCCACACTAAGAAATGGTGAGAATTGGAAAAGACATATGTTTTGATTTCTAGTTAGAGATTACATATTGTTTTGGAGACAAATATGAGTTACATCTTAATCTAAACACCTCACCTTATTCCATCTGAGGAAGAACAAAAGTTGATTTTTTTCCCCTCAACTGTAACTGGCATATTTCAGCAGATATTTATCCACAGCCTAACAGAGGATCACAAGTCCAGAGTCTGCCAAGTCATACTGAAAGTTTTTGCAGTCAAGCTAAGCCAAAATGCAACTCAATTTCCAATATTCTGACTCACAGTCCTACAGTTTTCCTGGTCATTCACGGGTCAGTTCAGTTCCTCCTCAATATATTTTTTATTATTATGTAAGCAACCGAAGCACACTGAAAAGGTTTTTGTATTCAATATTATGATCTTATTGTGTTTTATCTCGCAGATTTAAAACTGCAGAGATCCCATGGCAGTGACACTTGGGAAGGATTTGTGAATGTGTGAAATGTGCAGAACCAAAGATAAAGCCACAGACTTAACAAGAAAAAAAAAATTCTTCCCGTGTGGCCCTTTTATCATTTTAGTAAAACAACATCACTTTTAGTGCTTAGAATGTCAAAAAGGATTATCAAAGCTAAAGTATTTTTAGTAAGGAACGTAGTTATGACGATGATACTGTGACTGCATATCGAGTAAAGCTTTGCGAGTTACGTGACTTCATCATCAAAACATGCAATATTAAATTTAAGACACTAATATTGTCGGCATGAATGATGTGCTTTTTGAACCCAAGAGTCAGTTTAGTCACACTTAAATCTTCAGTTAAGGCCATGACCTTTAACATTATGTTTCTTGTAAAATATAATGTGTAAACATGTAAAGATATTAGACATAACAAATTATTCCAAAGATAAATTTTGTCCGTTGTGAGTGAAAATTTGACTCCGACCTGTTCCACACCATTCGACACCACGTCATTTCCATACATTATGATTTTAGCAGCATCACACACCAGTAATACAAACTGAACAATAAAAAGTCACAAATATCCATCCTTGTGATGCCTTATAGTACATGGATTGAATTTTCTTTGTCTTATTTTTCCAATTAAGTAAGCTGTTTGACATATGTTTTGTCACAAAAGAATCAAAAGAACAACCTTAAAATAAAATAAATTAACTCAAGCTGTTAACTCAAAATTCTAAAATACAAATTTATAACATAATCTAATAGTTTTTGTTTATTAAAATCTTGCTACTCATTTATATTTTTTGGGGTTCCTTATCTTTTTAGACCTTTGTTTTTTTCACAACTAGACATATTAGCAAACTGCCAAATTAATCTTTTATATAAATATGAGAAAATCCACCTGACCGGCAGTGTGCAGCAAAAAGGTGAGGGAGGATCAGAGCAGCACTGGGATATCCAGTAACGTAAAAATACACCTGAAATGACTCATAAAAAGGACTAACTTTAGTAGTTTTGAAACCATAACTTTTACTGGTAACTGGGCTGTAGTGAAGTCTCATTACTGCAGCCCAGGCATGCGTGCTTTCACAGCCTCCCTCATCCTCCTCTCAATCTTTTCAGAGTCCTAATAGGAGCATTAACACCTGTAACTGGGAGTCCATTCATTTTTTGGATTGAATTTTCTGTCCGAATTGTCTGGCACGACTCTTTTCAGCAACAAATCACACCGTCTGGCATCTTTATCGCATAATGTGACAGGAATTGCTATCAAAGTTTTTCATATCTTGTGACTTTTTTTTTTTTTTTAATTCCCAGCATGCGATGAAACCTTTGTCCTTGACAGATTAAAGGCATAAGTACTGGGATATTAAGGGAACAATACAACACGGCTGACTGGGAAAAATTCTTTAAGCCTCAAAACAATGAATAAGAATGAGGTCACTGCAGCATAAATGACTGATGGAAACCTTGTTTACTTGCATAAATTTAAAATAAGTCTTAGACAAGAGTATTGCTGGGATGTGAGTGGAGAAGAGCTATAGCGTTCTGTTGGAAAGACTGACCTATATAACCAGAGGGATGAGTGAGGGGATTTGAGGAGGAAGTCTGGAAGTCCTTAGTGACTCCTAGGATGTCAAGAAGCAGTATATTATTATTATTATTATGCTGTTTTGGTGTTCTGTATTTTTGTGGTAGGAGCCTTTTAAACTGTCATTTCATGTCACCCACAGTTGTCCAATGGGACAAAATGAGCCAGTGAGTGAACAGTTGCCGTCTAATCTCCTACTTACAAGAAAATCCAACACATCCGCCCCTGGAATGAGACCTACATCAAATTCAGAGAGAAGGGCTGAACTTCCTGCAAAACCTGTATATGTAAAAAAAAAAAAAAAAAAAGTCTGAACACCTGAGTGATCAAGCAAACATAATCATTCAGTCACGGCGCGCAAGTATGCAGTTGGGGGGCTTGTTGGGTGAGGCGAGTTGTGACAGTTTTGTCGGTTCTTGAAAAATGTGTCAGATCTTCACGTCATTATTTATTGAATGCTGGCCACGTTAATAGAGAAAGCATGCAGTGACACTGCAGTGCAGAAACCTTGGAAGAGGTCAGAGCGTCTACCAATAAATCAAAGCAGCTGAAAAGCTGGAATTGTGAGAAAACAAGGGGACAGCTGCTGATTTATGGAGTTGAGGGCCACAGGTTAGAGTTGTTTGGTGCCTTTATCTTCTCTCTCTCTCTCTTTCTCTCCTTTCTGTATAACTTCTTAGGGGAGAGATGAACTCCAAAGCCATTAGAGGGAAGGACAACTGCACTCCTTGGAATAATCATCTGATTTGTTGCTGTACTCAGAACTACAGGCACACACACCAATAAAAGAAGCTGGGAGCCGAGCCGGAGATGGGCTCAGAGAGCACACGGGATTAGATGTGTCATCTGGTCACACTGATACGACTGCAGGATCGATCGTGGGCCGCCTTCCCCTTCCTGCCCACGCCGTTTACATTATTAAATCCTAATTGAAACCTGATCACCAGAGGACTCGCACAGGCACGCACATACCGATGGAGATGAGTTGTGCACGGATGCACAAACACACTGCCTCAGTGGTGACAATAGAAAAGAAGAGATAATGAGAGCTGATGTCCGTCTAAGTTACGGAGCAAATCGATCAGTGGTGGGGGGGAGGGGGTTGCTGCACCATCAGAAAGGAGCTGAAGGGATAAAATAGTGTCACAGTGATCACAAGTTGCATCTTCTGCTCATCAGCAGCAAGGCAGAGGAAAAAAAGCAACACAGACACACACACACACACACACACACACACACACCACGTGTGTACAGTCTGTTTTTGTGAAGATGGATGCAGACAGTTACAGACAGCACATGGAGTACGCAGATGAGATGGTGTGTGTGTGTGTGTGTGCGTGTGTTTATTGGAAGTTGACTCACCCAGGACTGGAAGCTGCACCGTGCTGCTTGTTCATCTATAAGGCTGAAGATGCTCTGATCACTTGTGGCCGTTCGGGCTGCCTGTGCAGGATACCGGAGCTGCTCCAGTCTCTCCAAGCTCACAGCCTCCTCCTCCTCCTCTTCCTTTTCCTCTTCCTCCTCCTCCTCCTCCTCCTCCTCCAGCAGCAGCAGGAGCCAGTAGCTGGACTGGAGCGCCTTCCCCCGCTTTCTCTCTCGGCTCTCCCCCGCTTCGCTGGTTAATTGTCTGCCGTCTCAAGCAGAGATCCGCGGCTCTCCTCTGTTGCCTGTGAGGTCAGCAGGAACTCCTCTCACGGCTTCGAGGTGCGGAGAAGCGGAGAGGGCTGCCACCGGCAGCGGCGGGCAGAGAGGGCTGATGCCGCTCGGGTTTTCGGGCTGCTTGCGTGCGTGAGTGTGCGTGAGTGTGCGGCTGTCCTGTGTGTGTGAGAGAGAGAGAGGGGGATACGGAGCGTGTGATGCTTTGTGTTTGAAAGAGGAGCCGGCTGTTGTTCATTGGGGCTCATCTGCGCTGTTGCCTCTCTCTCCTTGTTTCTCTCTCTCTCTCTGGATCTCATTCTCGAAATGCTTTATGCTGCATTCGCTTCCTGTGGGATAAATGCGAAATGTGTGGCATATGTAAATAAAAAAAAATAAAAAAATTCAGACAGCTTCAGTTTTCCAGTGGGTGGATGTACTCAGAGTTCTGTTCTGGAAGAGAAAATAGCAGAGACTGGGTAGATGTGCCGTCATCTGGGACCAAGAGGAACAAGTAAATAAAAACAGCTGAAAACAAGTGAATCAAAACAAACATCAGCAGAAGATGTAGCACCTTTAACTCCCCACCAAAATGATAAAGTAACACCTTTAGAAAGACATGGAAAGACTCAATTTTAAGATGCGACTGTAACAGTAAAAGTAAATTATCTCATCAGTTTAAAAAGTTCATCTTAGATGGATTTAGTAAAATTTTATGTCACTTTTTCAAGCTTTTATTTATGTTAGTTTTGTGGATTACAGCTTCCAGATGATGACAAAATAACTTTTTCTTTTTATTTTTTATTTTTTCTTTTTATTTTTTTTTATTATCATTTAAGGTAAGTAAAAATGGATTTATAATACAGCAATGTTACATCATGGGTATTATGTGTCCTAAGCAATCATGGAGAGCTCAGCTGATTTGGGCAGATGAAAGTAAATTGTGCATTTTATACTGTTTACTGAACTCACTTAACCTCTAATGACACAGCATTGCTCAGCTGACGAAAACGTATAACAACAGAACCTGTCTGCAAACAAGAGCTATCACTTCAACATTAACTGTGCAAGTTGGTTAAAATGTATTCTTCTTAGCCAGAAATTGTACTCAAGTAAAAGTAGCTTTACTGAAAAATTATACTTAAATGGAAGCAAAAATAAGTAAAGGGCAAAACAAAGAAGAAAAACTACATATCTAACAAAAAAGATTACTCAAGTAAGTTTAAGTGAGTGAATGTGACAAGTTACTATCCACCTCTTGACTCTAAAATGAAGATTGGAAACACCGGGGCCAGCAACCACCCAGCCTGATAGCCTCAATGAAACGTTTGCATGGATGCAGTAATTTATCTTTACACCAGAAAAAAAAAATCTTTAAGATAAAATGGAACCTTCAGCCAAAACTTGTCTTCATAGGCAATGATAGTTTCCCATAATACACTGAAGCAAAAGGTATAGAGATTTTTCTTTAGTGACTCCAAAACTCTGAAAGTCTTTTTCCTGTGTACTTTTTCCAGTACCATAAGTTAAAAACCTGTTATATTAAATCTGCTTTTGTGTAACACGTCTTGTGTTAATGTTGATTTTGAGGCAGTTTATGATCTTTATATCTTCAAAGGTGTTATATATAAAATAATGACTCGCTTTCTTCCTGTATGCCCAAGTATTTAGTGCATGTAATGTAGGACTTGGACGTACATTTTTAGTGTTCATTTTAAATATTGGTCCTATCTAATACTAGTTTCCAATAAACTAACTTTTTAGTTTCAATTAGCTGTAAACCAGAATGGTTATAATAAATTGAAATAAATGTCTGAAATACATCACTCGTTCTAAAAGATGCCTCATAGGCTTACTGGTACATCTAAATGAAATGTGGCCATTTCTGAAATAGAAATATTTGTGTATTAACAGCATAATATAAACAAGCTTTTGTCAGAAGTATTCCTTTAAAAGCTACAGATCTCAGCTGCGTACTAAAATCCTTCAAGATGCAGAATTTGTGGGTGACAGCGGGAAGCCCAAAGTGCATATTGTCTAGCTAAAGTATTCATGTCCCTTGAACTTTTTCATGTTTTACTGCAAAACAAACACAAACCTCAACATGTTTTATTGCAATTTTATGATAGATCAACAAAAAGTGGCTCATAACTGTGACGGGGAAGAAAAATTATCCATTTGGACGTGGTTTTTCATAACGTGTATGAATAAAAATCAGAAGAAAAAATATAGATACCCCTTAATAAAATCAAATGCTCTGGTCTTTAAACTTACCCGAAATTCTTCATCTCCTAAAATGATTCAGTGCACTGAGCAGTAGATCTCATTTTTGTGGCCCTTTTAAAATATTATAGGATTTTATTGTTTTTCCAAGGCTGGAGGAAATCCAACCGAGTAACAAAACCACATCTGTTCCCATTTTGCAGTTTCTGCCTCAAAGTGGTGTATTTTTTTTATTTTATTTTAAAATACAAAACATCATAAGCTAGGATATTATTAAAAATAATGCAAATATACTGAAAGTTAAATGGCTTTTTTTCCCCTTAAACCTAACATATTTACATTTTGAATAATCCTTTACCTTGTCTAACATTTTATTTTTGATGGGAACGGATGTATAATGAGAAATATGATACATGGTACTTTTTGACATATGGTTCTGTCATGAATTGCAACTGTGTTTGAGAACATTGAACTTATGGGATGCCAATGTTCCAGCTATTGGGACTAATCTGCAGTTGTCCTGAAAAAGAAACCAGTGATCAGTCAGCATGTGGATATTAATGAGACTAATCAGATGTGCATCGTTACTTTGCTATTTGATTTCAAATGTGTAAAAGCTACCAGTTAAACTCATTGAGCTTTCAAAGTGCGGCAAGATGGAGCATGTTTTAGCCTGAGGCCTGCAGACCTTTCTGTGTGGAGGTCCAGTGCTCTCTTTGCCTCTGTGTCGGGTTGCTGCGTCCTATTTTTCTGGACACTTCAGCTTCCTCCCACAGTCTACAACGAACAAGTCAAGTTAACTCGTGTTTCTGAAATGAGTAATTTTATTCGGTTTGACCTGGCTGTCGGCAAACAACCAGCACTGGTACTTTTACAGTGCTTTGCAAAACTTTTCAAACTCTTAAAAAGTTATTTAATTGTAAAGTGGAAGGAAAGTGAAAGAAAAAAAGTTGTCTAAACATTTCTCACTGCATTTTCAGCTGTCACTTTTGCGGGTTCTCTTTACCAGCATTCAACATTTAGACACTAATGCTTTCTCCCTAACCCAGTCAGATTACATTTCAGTTAATGTAAGAGCCCAGATTCAATATTCTGCTTTACATCATCCATCATCAGGTTTTATGCATAAATTCCTACAGGTGAGCAAACTGATGATGAAACATTATTCCATTCTCCTGGCTGGCTTATAAAAATCCCCTGCTTCAGCATCCGGGGTCTTGATGAAACCACGATCTCTGCAGCCAACATCCAACCTATTACAGCAACCGAACAACATCTGCTGCACCCTTGTACCACAGTGAGACTGCGGGGAGAGGGGTATGGTGTGCCAGGTGGCTGCAGATATAATACAGCATTAAGGTTGGAACTGGATCCCTTTCCATGGATAGTGCAGGATGTTTTTTTTTTTTTTTTTTTTAAATCTCAGGAGGGCTAGAGCCAAAACATGATGACATGAAGCTTTACAGACAACTGTGCAACACTGTGCAACCTTTTACAACATTGTGCAACCCACGTTTCTGAACATCTGAGTTAATCTTCAAATCTGTTGAGGATTTTTGCAAAAATCCCAATACAAAATAAAATATTTGTGTAAAATAAGCAATGCTGAATGAACAAAGAAAAAAATGTGTATTTTGAGGATTTTAATCATGCTAGGTACATTCCATCTCATTCCTGACTAAAATATTTACTCTTTAATGGGCCCAGATGGTGACAAGCATGTCAGGTAGATTTGCATTACTGCCCCAGTCATCCACGCAGATTTTTCACACCGTGAGCTTTTTTTTCAAAGAGCGTGGAATGGAGGCAGCGCAGCAGTGTCACATCCTGTTAAAAATTGGAAAGCTGTGCCATGTTTCATCCCATCTGCAGTCTGAGCCGCGGTCCTCAGCAGACACAACGGGGATCTCCTGAGCCGGATTCGTCCGAGCTGCAGTCTCTCTGCATGATACAGTGTTTCCTTTTTTTTCTTTTTTACTGTAAAGTGAATAATAAAGAGGAGTGTCATCATTCCTGCTGGTGGCTGCACTTTTAAGACCGAGCCACAGTTCTGCAGCAGGGCTGTAGTATGTTGACCTTCATGACTGTAATTTCCACAGGAGGTTGAGGGGCTTTGTTGTGAAGTCGAGGATCCGTTTCCATCACCACGGCACACTAATAATCACCGCCTCATCAGCTGTGGTCAGGTCAAATCCTCTTGGAGTTCCAGGAGCTTTCCAGTCTGAATGTTTTTCATACTTCCTGCCGCACTGACGTAAATATGTTATACATAAAACATGAAGCCACCATACCTGCCGGCGCTGAAGGAACAGCAGACCACAGACTTTACGCTCATTTGTCAAACTGAAAGGTCTGCTTACCCTCAGCCGCGGTCCTGGGATCCAAACTGTGTTACTCCCACTGAAACATGTACAACATTTGTTCATCATTATGCAGTAAATGCAACTCCAAAACCAAGCTTTGAAGTACAGTGATTTGCTGATATAGTTATCTCTTGTTAGCATTTCATCACATAATCATAAACTTCTGTGTTTTCAGCTGGGATTGTGTTGTCATAAACACAGTTGTAAAATGAAAAGAATACACAGATTAAGTGGGTAGGATTGTTTTTTTTTTGTTTGTTTTCTTTTACAATTAAAAACATGAAACTTTGTGTGTTTATGTTTACTGTTAATTTCTGAATTTCACATCAACCCCTTACCTTTCATGATGACACAGATGTATAACAAAATGCTATTTTTCAGTTTTTCTGATGTCAGCTTAATCCTCTTTTACTATACAGCTTTAGAAAACAAGATTTTTTAATATAAAGTTGTTGCATTTTGAAAAATAAAGAGAGCATCCTTTTCCATAATATTCCTTCAAACATCTCTGATAACATCAATATCAACTAAACAAACAGCAGTGCATTGTCAGATATATGAGCTGCCTCTTCTACAGTCAAAAATACATCTTCATCCAGATGTTTTAGTACATCTACAGGTTAATGTTTAAGCTAACAAGGGTATTTGTGTTAGCCTTTCACACACGTCTTGTACTCCTTAATAATCGTTGAGTCAGTAAAGGTTTTTTTTTATTATTATTATTTATTTTTTGGCCCCAAATCCAAACATCCCTAAAGGCCAGTTCATTTGCATGCTGCAGAACCGTCAAGGACTCTGTCATGATATCCCATGATTAATGGAGAAAGAAAAAAAAAATAAAAATAGCCTCCCTTGATGATATACTTTATTGAAGCATATTTGATTTTAATTTCAACTTTCCTTCTATTAAAAGTACTCAGACAGCATGATGCTGCCACCACTCTGTTTTGCCTGTGAGTAATGCTCATCAGTCTGGGAATATAGAAAATATACATAGATTGTTTCTGCAGAACACGACCAGCACCTAGCAGAAATCCCTGCAGCGCTGCCATTTCCAATTTCCCCTTTGTACCTGCTCTGTAAACTATTTCTAGCTAAAAGAAAGGAATGGGCAAATGTCAGGAAAATCCTATCAGGACGCCAAAGCTTCATTTCACCTTAATCAGATTTACTGTAATTGTCGGCATGTGTGACAATAAGAAAGTTGGATGATGAAATGACTATAAAAGTTCCACATTTAGTAATCTAGATTATAGTTCTTTTTTTATTATTATTTTTCTTTGTTGTCCAACTAAACAATTATGGTCTCAAGTTTTTTTTACATCAGAAAATTTACTGGAGTTTGGGTAATTTTGATGCCCTCTGTGCTCGTGACAATAAACTAGACCTTTCTCATTAATATGCAAAATTTTTTAATGTGTATTCAAAAATTTTACCTGATGGTGGAATAAACGTCCCAAAAGAATCTGTTTAGTTCCCATAGTTTGCACTTTTTGAACCGCTTTAATTACTTTCAACACTTTTTTGCCTGATTGTTTACCAATTTCTCACTTTTTTTGTGTCTCCCTAAAATTTCAGCAGTTGAGGGTTTCCTTCTACCCACTACCTGATTCGAATACAGAAAAAGTCCAAACAAACAAAAATACCGCCTATGAAAATCCAACACACACACACACACAAACAGGTGGGTAACAAGCTGGATAAACTCGACTGCAGAAAACAAACAACCACGATCCAAGAAACTGGCAGCTGACAAGGGAGAAGGCTGGGATACAGAGAGACAAACAAGACGCATGTGAACACAAACATTCAAAGAGATGAGAGTAAAAAGCAGGAGCAAAGGAGCTAGAAACAAACTTTGAACATGGAAAGGGGGAGAATTAAAACAGGCAGCAACTGAATAATCAATCAAGTCTCAATAAACCCAACGCAGATCAGACGCCACCAATGTCTCAATGTAATACCAAACGAAGAAAAGCTGAAAGTGAAGCACAACATTTATGGTGCACAGCACCAACAGCTCCAATAAAGAGTGGCTGTATCACAAAGGAAATGGGAGAGACGAAGTGTTTGGCTCCGGATGCACACTGCCAGGCAGTATGTTACAGAAAGTGTCATGCTGAGCCCATCTGGCCACTAGTTGCTATTGGATTGGGTAGGCAGTCAGCAAAACACCAGTCGCTGAAGAAGCCTTGGATTTAATGTGAAAAACTTGCATTAGCATTAGCTCCTGCCTCTGTTGGCTGCCTGCTTTAGACAGCCTGAAGGCACATAAGGCTGTAGCATTCAGGGCCTTCAGAAATCTGACTGCTTGCTTCCCTTTGCACACCGCTTCATGTTTTTAATCTTACGCAGAAAGATCTTGATTACATTAGATTAGCTGAAATAATACGCAACTCCAAAATCAATGCTCCTTATGAGCCTGAAGCTTTTATGAAGAAGCTTTTTAATAAGATTCGTGCCTGTTCACATGATATAGTGCCCTTTAATGTAATTTTCTATTTTTGATAGTTAAGGACATAAAGTTATTTATTTATTTATTTATTTATTTTACTTATTTTTGAAAATAACGCCTCATGCTTAAAATGCAACAAATATGCAAAATAAGCAGAAAAACATATGAAACTATTAAGGCTTTGTTGAATTTTAGAGCTTCACCATAAAGGCCTTTGTTTTTCTTTTTGCTGCACATTTTCCTCGTCCTTTTCTTAGCACAAGATTTTTGAAAGCACTTGTGAACAACAGCAGGTGCTAACCACAGCGCTCTAAACCATGTTGTTTCCACAGTCTAGGGTGCAAAGGCCCGGTGACCTCTGTGTGAAAGCTTAGACCATCTAGGAGGAGATGATCCCTGACCTACGTGATTCTAAAAGACATTTGGTGGGCAGAGAGGGATCTCTCATTGGTCGCTGGAGATTTGACCAATGAGAGCTTTCTATCTCAGCAGGAAAGTCTTGATCCTGGTAGAGAGGAAATGGTGGGATGTATGACGTGACATATGATCACGCTTCCTAGCCTAAAGTCTTCTGGACCAACTTGAGAGGTGAAAGCGAGGTTTGACACCAACATTCAAAACACATGCAAGCATCCATCTGGGAAGTAATAATAGCAAGAATCACTCTTTCAACATCAACGAAACATGATCTCTGACGACAAAGGTCTCCCTTTAAAGAAATATTAACTTTTCACATTTGATTTAACAAAAGTCACCAGGTTCATCCAAATTCAAAGTTATCATTCTGGACACGTGTGACAAAAACATGATTGATCCGTTTGATTGTTGCTGAAATTAAGGAAATATGTGGCAGTGTCGTTTCTACAGTAACTTAATTGTTACGCTTTGACTGAAAGTTGACTGAAATATTCTCCACACAGCCATAAAAAGAGACGTTTCCTTAAACAAAGCCAGGGAGAATCATGTAGAGTGAGAATAGCATGGGTCCAAGTACAGAGCCTTGATGCACCCTAAAAGAAAAGAGGATCTCTGAAGCACGGCAGCAAAAAACCTCTAATACCAACAAAAAATGTCCATGCGGAACATCAGTGTTCTGGTCCAGGTGATGCATGTTCACAAATTTCTCATCACATTTCAAATTATGACGGGATGACATAGAAATGTTTTACATAGCAAGGCGAGGCAGGGTGAATAATATGACGGAGCTTCACCGTTTCTGTGTGCGTCGAGAGTGTGTGTGTGTGGGCTGGACGGTCCCACAGCCGTAGGCTTGGACAGCAGCAGGTGACTCACCGTGCCTCAGCTGCAAGCAGGAAGAAAATCAAAGCGATACACTGAACACACAGGACTAAATTAGGGGCGGTTCAGAGGAAAGGAGAGGAGTTTTGAGGAGAGGAGTCGGCAAAGGATGGAGCAAATGGGGGATAAGGGAGGGATACAGGAAGTGTGTAAGTACCGGAGAGGCCAAAAGACAAGGATAAGCAGCCCCACGGAGGATGCTGAAGGAAGAATCACATAAGAAGAGAATAGACACCTCCGGGGAGACTCTGGAGACTAAAGACAAAGAAATTCCTCCAGGTTGTGGGCAGGAGAGCATATTTGCCTGGGTAAACACTGAGACAACTGTTAGGCTCTGTGTGGATGTGTGCGTGACTACACAGTTTCTTTTCTTGTAACAGTGTTTACATAAACAGGAACTGGGGACTGCAGTAGCCATGGGCCTCGAGTATCTTTAGACTTCACACATTATGCCACACAGCCTGGAAAATAAATAACAAAAAAATGTTAAATATCACTGCAGCCAGAAGCTGAAAGGTGTGCGGCTTAACGGTTTTCTCAGAGAATGATTGGTATTTAAATGAGAGACCTCTCCCTTCACTGATGCCTGGGCGGGGAAACTTCCTCGTAAAGCCCCCTGCGGAGACCTTGACCTTCAGAAGAGCTGAGCTTTAATGACCGACTGTCTGACGGGAGGGAGATCGTCGAAAACAAGTTAGCCAGTGTAAAAAAGGATTTGCTAAACACTTTCAAAAATAGCTGAACAAAGAACAGTTACATACTAAATGTGTACATATTTGCTTAAAATGAGAAAGTAATAAAATGAGCTTAAAGATAAGAAGCAAACAACTTGTTTCAAAATTTGAGATTTTATTTTGAATAATTTTTAACTAGCTCCCT